GCAAAGGCCTGATCCTGGAGCAGGGGTGGCCTCCCTAGCCCCCTCACTCCCCTCCCCAACAGGCTGTCAGACTCAGCCTTCATGGTGATTTGTTCCCTGGTGTGTTTGGTGATTTGGGTTGTGAGCTCATTTTTATTTGCTTTTACTCTGTGGAAAATCCGAGGGCCTGAACTGAGGATTCTTTCCAGGACTTTGGCTTTAACCTATGGGAGTCCTTCATGCCCCTCTGGAATCCTGGTATAATCCAGGAAGCTCAGACTCAGTGGTCCACTGCCCCCCACCCCTTTCTCCCAGTCCAATCAAGTGTGTCTGCCTGGTCCATATTCCTAGTCTTTAAAATAAAAAACAAAACAAAACAAAAACATAACCAACCAAAACAAAAAAAAAACGCACATAACCAGAGCACAACAAAAGTTTTCCTTTTGCCTGGCCCTGGGCCCGGCTCCCACTGGTGCATTCCTACCCGGGGAGCAAAAGTCTATCTGGGAGGGGGGCAGAGCAGACACTGAGGCTCCAGGGGTCTATTAAACACTGCCCTCTCCTTGTTTTCCCCAGGCCTGGCCAGTATGACCCAGAACTTGGAGCCACTTCTGAAGACGCGGGGCTGGGACTGGGCGTGAGTCCTGGGAAGTGAGGTGGGGCAAGGGCAGCCTGGAACTTGTAGGGGGGTTGCTGACGGGCTTTGGGGCCTCCTGACCCATCTCTTCTCCCCCAGGCTCCCTCTGGTCAAGCTGGCCATCCGCATAGGGCTGGCATTTGTGGGATCCATGCTGGGTGCCTTCCTCACCTTTCCAGGCCTGCGGCTGGCTCAGACACACCTGGACGCACTGAGCATGTCAGAAGACCGGCCCATGCTGCAGTTATGCAGACTGCCAGATGGGTGGTGGGGGGAGGTGGGAATCTAAAGGAGAGGCTAGGGGGATGGTGGGTGCCCGGGCCTCACTCCTCTGTGCCCTTGTTCCTAGGTTCCTTCTGCATACCAGCTTCCTGTCCCCTCTGATCATCCTGTGGCTCTGGACCAAACCCATTGCACGGGACTTCCTGCACCAGGCACCCCTGGGGGAGGTGCCCTTCTCCCTGTGCGCATGGGGGGGTGGGTGGGAGGGAGGGCAGTGGGGGCCCTTCTGTGTACCCCAGTCTTTGAGGCTCAGGGAGGAGCCTTGGATCCTGGGGGAGATCCTGGAGCAGGGGTGGCCTCCCTAGCCCCCTCACTCCCCTCCCCAACAGGCTGTCAGACTCAGCCTTCGACTCACTGCGCCTCTGGGTGCTGGTGGCCTTGTGCCTGCTAAGGCTGGCCATGACCAGGCCCCACCTGCAGGCCTACCTATGCCTGGCCAAGGCCCGTGTGGAGCAGCTGCGGCGGGAGGCCGGTCGCATAGAGGCCCGTGAGATCCAGAGGCGGGTATGGGCACCAAAGGTTGGGAGGGAACATGGGGCTCAGGGCAGGGCTCCCTGTCCCTGGGGCTGAGGGTCCGGACCCCCACCCACCCACGTAGTCACTGCTACTGGCCCACTAGGTGGTGCGAGTCTACTGCTATGTGACGGTGGTGAGCCTGCAGTACCTGACGCCACTCATCCTCACCCTCAACTGCACGCTGCTGCTCAAGACGCTGGGTGAGGAGTGGCATGGGTGGGGTCGGGTCTTGGGGCCTGGTGTGGGGAGGTGGGGGCCGTGGGGAGTGACGCTGGGCCGGGATGGAGGCGAGCGAGGTGGCACCTGGGCGGGACTTGGTAATACTGTGGGGGGAGCCTGGGGGGCCCAGAGGAGGGGAGAGTAGGAGGCAGGGCCCGGAAGTTGGGGTGGGGGCCAGGAGATAGAGTTTAGGGTGGTGGCGGGGGTAGGAGGTGGAGCCTAGGGCTAGGCGGGGGTCCCAGAGGTCAAAGCCCACCTGCACCTCTACCCATCCCTCCCTCCACCCTCCACTTCCCACAGGTGGCTACTCCTGGGGCCTGGGCCCGGTCCCCATGCTGTCCCCCGCCCAGTCCTCAGCCCAGGATAGCCTGGGGGGTCCCGGGGAGGATGAGGCCCAGCAGACGGCGGCCCGGATCGCTGGGGCGCTGGGCAGCCTGCTCACGCCCCTCTTCCTCCGCGCCGTCCTCACCTTCCTCATCTGGTGGACCGCAGCCTGCCAGCTGCTCTCCAGCCTCTTCGGCCTCTACTTCCACCGGCACCTGGCGGGCTCCTAGCCGCCTGCAGACGCCCCTGGGGCCCCAAGGTCCCGGCCGGAGCCAGCGGCTTAAGGGCCGCCTCCTCCGTGTGTGCCTCAGTGTCCTCAGGTGCAAGGTGGGCCCGGGAGCCCCTGCAGCACCTGCTGTGCCCGCCCACTTCACCGCAGTGCCTGAGCCCTGGCCCCCTCGGATCCCATGCTTCTGCCTCCAAACTGTGGCCCTGGGCCCCGCCCCCCCCCCCCCAGGCTGAGGATCCCAGGGCCACTGTTCTCAGATTGCATGCCCTCCCTCCCCGCAATTTGAGACAGAGGTCGCGGGTCATTCTTCTGAACAAATAAAAGAACAGGCTGATTTCTACTATCAGGATTGGAGTGGTTTGGGAGGTGGCTTTCTGCATGTTGGCGTTTGGAGCTGAGTGAAGGGAATGACCCGGAAGAGCACAGGGCGATCCAGACAGTAAGCAAAGGCCTGGGAGCAAGAAGTGAAGGCGGCGGGGGTGGGGGGGTGTGGGGGGGGCAGGAGGAAGACGGAGTCAGGGCTGAGAGGGTGGTAAGGGAGAGAAGAGGGTGGGGGAGAGCGCAGGGGGGGGACTCGAGGATGAGAAGGGAGGGAGATGGAGATGACAGATAAAGTTGTAGAAATCTTGCAGGAGTGGGCGCCTGGGTGGCTCAGTCATAGGGGGGTCTGCCTTCGGCTCGGGTCATGATCCCAGGGTCCTGGGATCGAGTCCCACATCGGGCTCCCTGCTCCATGGGAAGCGTGCTTCTCCCTCTCCCACTCCCCCTGCTTGTGTTCCCTCTCTCGCTGTGTCTCTCTCTGTCAAATAAATAAATAAAATCTTAAAAAAAAAAAAGAAATCTTGCAGGACAAACAAAATGATAAAAGATGGAAAACAAAGGGGTGGGGGTGGGGGCCAAGGAAATCAGAGAACTGGCCCAGAAGAATCTTCCAAAGAGAGAGAGTTCTGGAGCGGAGGGGGACCCCGATGGGACCAGGTGATGGGAATCCCCTAGGACCGCAAGCTTCCAGGCGCTGCGGGACAAGAGCCCCATCCCAAGGCACGTGTCTGGGAAGTTCCAGAATGAAGACCGGCTCCCCGCCAGGACAGAATGGGTCACACCTGGAATCAGGAGATGATGGAGGGCTGTCTCCTAGTTTTGCCCATCCCGCACTGTGGCCGGCACCCCAGGGATCCCTGAAACCGGAGCCCCCCTCACCCCTGCACCATCAGCCGCCACAGCGGTGGTGCCTCTGGTCACCTGGCCCTCTGCTTGCTCAGCCAGGGCCATGCGTGCTCTCTGCTCTCAGAGCGTGACCCCCCGGGGTTCAGGGGGACCCAGAGGAAGGTGGAGCCGAGCAAAGAAAAGCAAGAGCGTGAGCGGCACCGTGCCAGGCGCAGCGGGGGCGATGGGGTGCGGCGCCCCCGGGACGGCCACAGGCTCTCACTGCCGTGCCTTAAACCACAGACATCTTACACGTTCCCTTTGGGACACACTTCATGGTTAAAAAAAAAAAAAAGTAATGAGAGAAACAAGGTGGAACCACAATCAGAGAAAAATCGGGAAGATAGAAGGGGCTGGTCAGGGTGCTATGTTTTCAGAAGCAATATTACATTTCTGTTAAGTGGCATCAGTGATCACCACCACCCATCGGCGCTTCGCACAGGAGGGGACGATTCTGCCCCAAAGGGACACTAGTCAGTGTCTGGAGACATTTTTCTGGAGACAGTTTTGGTTGTCACGACTGAAGGGGACAGGGATGCTACTGCATCGGGGGGGGGTGGTGGAGGCCAAGGGTGCTGCTCGGCACCCTGAGGTGCCCAGATGTCAGCGGTGCCCAGGCCCAGAAACCCTGTGTTACAAGAAACAGGTATCGGGGCACCTGGGGGGCTCAGGTCATGATCCCGGGCTCCTGGGATGGAGCCATGTGTCGCGCTCCCTGTGCAGCGGGGAATCTGCTTGTCCTTCTGCTGGTCTCCCTGTTTGTGCTCTCTCTCTAATAAATAAATAAAATCTTAAGAAAGAAAGAAAATCCAATGACAAGTCAAATTTTCAACTGCAGAGAAGTGAGCAAAGGAAAAAACCAGTGGAAAAAAAGACTTAAACCAGAAGCAGGACCCAAGATGCACCCACACACCTCGTGCCTCCGATCCACTCTCGTCCTGGTCCCTGGGACCTCCACCTGGTCAAGCCCTCGGGCCTCCTGACCTTGCTGTCTCTTCCCCTGTGGCCGCCTGGTCACCACCCAGCCCCTGGACGCCCTGCTGCTTCCCTGTCAGAATCATGAAGATCTACAAGGCTGGTGACCGGCCGTTGGTGAGGGGAATTATGTTCTCCCAAAATTCTATGTTGAGGTCCTAACCCCTAGGATCTCAGGATGGGACTATATGTGGATACTGAGTCTTTAAAGAGGTGATTAGGTTAAAATGAGGTCATTAAGATGGGCCCTGATCCAGCAGGACTTATAAGAAGAAATTTGCTTTTTTTTTTCTTTTCTTCATTATAAGAAAATTGGACACAGACATGCCTAGAGAGAAGACAATGTGAAGACACAGCCGTCTGACCAGCTGCAAGCCGAGAGGCCTGAACAGACCCTTCCCTCATGGCCTCAGAAGGAATCAAACCGGCTGACACCTTGATTTTGCACTTCTGGTCTCCAGAACTATAAACGGAATAAATTGGTTTTAAGCCCCCAGTCTGGAGTACTCTGTTATGGCGGCCGCAGGAAACTCAAGACAGTGAGGGTATGTGCTATAAACGCTCCCATTGGGGCGCCTGGATGGCTCAGTTGGTGAAGTGGCCAACTCTTGGTTTCGGCTCAGGTCATGGTCTCAGGGTCCTGAGATCTGGCTCGGCTCAGCGGGGAGTCCGCTCAAGGATTTTCTCTCCCTCCCTCTCCCTCAGCCCCTCCCCCTGTTCATGCGTGTGCACGCTCTCTCTCTCTCTCAAATAAATGAATAAATCTTTCAAAAAAATGCTACCACCTCCTTATAGGAATATCTGGCATTTGCATTCATCTCTGGATAGATCCCCCCAAAGATGACCCTGTCATGAGGACTCAGGGCCCATGGTTTACCTGGAAGCTCACCCCAGAGAGACTCTTTGGGGGCAGAGACATGAAACAGGGAGGGAGGAGCCCTGTGGGGGTGCCGATGAACAGGTGACTAAGCGGGCAACCTGGGCTTGCTCCTGTTGGGGGCCCCGGGGGACAGTATGGATCTCACTTGAGTGACCCACTCCAGTGGTGAGGGGCTGTCCCCAGTCACTGGCTAAGGGCTGCTCCTGGGGTGTCAGGTCATGCTCCTCGGGGGAGGCCCCCAGACTGGGTTGAGCGGCTTACAGCCAAAAGCAGCTGGGCTTAGGGAGGGGCACTGGCTGCGTCAGTGAACATAGTCCCTGATCTTTACTTAGCAGTTTGTTCCTGGAAAACCACATACTCATGCATGAATGCAAAGAGGCACATACAAGATCTGTTTCAGAAAGTGCCAGGAAGCTCAACCCTAACTGTCTTCAATAAACAGAACAGCCACTCCTATTGCCGGAAGTTGAGAGGCAGCTGAGAGCTTCAGGCAAAGCTGGATCCAGCAGCCCAGACAATATGACCAATAATCCAACTCCGTTCTTCATCTCTACTCCATTTTCTGCAGTGTCAGCTTCACCCTGGGATCACTTCCTATCTTGTGAACACAGGATAGTCCCAACAATTGCCTGTGCTGGTGTTTCTTCCCTTAGGGCCAGTGGGAGAGAGGGAGGGTGCTTCCAGAAGCTCTCCCTGGAAGTGCTTAGCAAACATCCCTGCTGTCTTGGGCCCAAATGGGGTCATGTGCCCACCTCTATATTTTAGGGGATGCCATGGTGATTGGGGGGAAATGGGGAGTTGACCCCCACCCTCCCAGGCTCAGGGGGTGGGACTGACCAGAAATCGGTAGGATGTGAGAGGCAAGCTGGGCAGGCCCGGGGAGCTGCTACCATGTTGTCATGGCAACAGATCACTAATAACCCCGATGGCCATCAATAAAGGATGGGTAGATGTCATCACAGGCCACCACCCCCGGGAAACACCCAACTGTGCATAAACAATGAGTCAAACCATACACAAAAGGGACCAAAGTGTACGAATCTGGTCGGATGAAAGCAGCAGGCAAGCGGCTCAGGGCCCACGAGGCAGAATGTACTTGAAGCACTGCACCCTTCAGAGTGTGCCCACGGGAGGCGCACGAGAGGCGCCCATGCTCACCCAGTCGCCCCTCGCCTGGCATGTGGAGGCTCCCACTTCCCGCCTCTGGTTGGGGGGGCCCTACAAGTTGGTCTAGGAGATGGGCTGCAGCAGAAGCAAGTCTCCATGGCCACCGTGAAACCTCTGGTGGCCTCAACCTTGGGCCCCCGCAGACAGCCACACTCGCTCCTAAAGCCTCAACCGGCCGAAGTGGGGAGGCCCTGGCACTCGACAGGTGGGCAGGGCATGGGAGACAAACAGTAGGACTTGGCGGCCCTGCTCGCTGCAGCAGGATGCAACCCATTCCGACTGGTGACGTGGCTCACCCCGTATGTCCTCAAAAGGGACAAGTGTTTATGCACGGGATGTCTCCGGAAGGACACGTGAGAAACTGGTAAAAGAAGACACTTTGGCAGAGGGAACTGGCAGGCTGACCTTCTCGCCACAACCCTTTTGTGCAGTTGGGAGTTTTCTAGAAGACCTGTATGTAGTAATAATTCAAACAATAAACACATCAAAAAGGCTTATTCAAGGGGTGCCTGGCTGGCTCAGTCCGTAGAGTACGCGGCTCTTTTTTTCTTTTTTTCAGAGAAGGAGAGGTGGGGGAGGGGCAGAGAGAGCCTCCCAAGCAGGCTCCAGGCCCAGCACAGAGCCCGAGGCAGGGCTCGATCCCACAACCTTGAGATCACCACCTGAGCCGAAACCAAGAGTCGAAACCAAGAGCCGGACGCTTAACCGACTGAGTCATCCAGGTACTCTGAGCATGCGACTCTTGATCTCAGGGTCTTGAGCTCAGGCCCCACACTGGGCGTGGGGCCTGCTTAAAAAAAAAAGTTTATTCAAGAATATATTAAAAAATCTGTCAAAATAACCTCAACCCCAACCCTGTTTTTGGTTCACAGGGGGTGGAGGTTGGGGTTAGAGCCGAAGAAGAGAAGAACAGAAAAAAACGTCATTTTAATTTTTATTAAATATACTCTCTTGGCACAAATCTTTAAAATATATAAACATTATATATAAACAAAGTGTCTTCATGGCATCAAAATGTAACTCCAGATCAGGATGGACACTGGTGGGAGGGGTGTAGCTGCGGAGGGACCGCCCAGCTGTGTGCAGGGCTGGGGGGGGCGGTGGTTGCTGCTTAGGCCCACTCGGCTGAGAGCCACCTTGGGGAGGCACACCGGGGCCGGCAGGACCTGGGGCCCTCCGCTCTGCGGCTCAGAGAAGGGTGCCGCCCAACCATCCATTTGGTCTCACCTGCTGGGGGTGGCGCCCCAGCCCATCTCCCTGTGAGGGGTCCCTGCCTCTCCTGCCTGTCTGGGCCCCGGGCACTGGGCAAGGCCGGCAGAGGAGGTGGGACACTCCCCCAACAGAACAGCCATGGGACCCTGGGGACGAGCCTCAGGCCGGCCGAGGGACACATGCAAGGAAGGACAGAGAGGGGTCTTCACACCCGCAGGTCCAAGGCAAGAACAGAAATGGGACAGAATGCAAGGGAGAAATGAGTCACGACTGGAAACGTGCGTGGGGCAAACACGCCCTCCCAGACCCTTTCACGCAGGGTGGCTGCGGAGCGATCTGGTCACCCCCGGTCACTCTCCGCCTGGAACCATATGGGGCCGGTCAGGGTTTACTGCGACGAGACCCAGGGGCAGCCAGATTGAAAAGCAAAACCAAAAGAAATCAAGAAACTCCACAAATCATTCGGAAATGGGCGTTTCTGCGTCGCCGTGACACCTGGCAGACCCCAGGGGACTTCTCCATGAGACCCGCTCCCTGGGGGTGCCGTAGGGTACCCCAATTCCCACCCTCAGGCCACATACCCTCTCAGGGGCTCCCACTTTGGGAGGATCAAGGCTGCCAGTCGCCTGCATGCACTCTCTTCACGGCAACCAGACCACCCTGTGTGCCTTCAACTGCCCCGAGTCCCGGCCAAGCGCCCGCTCAGGTGGGGAGCCAGGGACGTGCGAGATGCCACGGGCCCCCGCAGGAGCCACTGTGCCTAGGGGCCAAGGGTTAGGGCCTACGGCCTGGCCTCTGTTGGTGCGGCCTGTGGGACAGGCGTGGGAGCTTCCTGGCCCAGAGGAGGTGACCTGGGTCCCCAGTTCTCAGCAGATGCCTCCAAATTAGGACTCACACCCAAACCCATGGCGAGTCCTCAAACCCTGCTGCCTGGAGGAGGCGCGACCCTCCTGGGAACATTACACACTGGGTGGGTAGGCAACAGAGGGGAAGACCCACTCCTGGGGCCCTACTTTGGCCACGGAGTCCAGGGTCCAAATAATGCTCTTGGGAGAAGGCTGTTCCCGAGCAGGAGGCTCTGGTGACACAGGAATCATGTCACCTGGGAAGTGACAAAGGCAGGACAGGTAGGGTGGGGGGCAAGAGGCTGTTTTTCTAGCCACAGCTGAGCAGGAGGCTGGCCCCACCTCACCAGGGCCCGGAGGCGCCTCTCTGTACGCCTTGGGGCTCCCTCTCCTCTGTGGGCACAGGGGCAGGCGGAGTCGGGCTCTGGGCCCAGTGGGCACGAGGTCACTAGAACCAGGAGCACGTCCAAGGTCACAGAGCGCCAGGAGGTGGCGCTGGTCACTCCCAGCTCAGGGCATTTGGGGCAAGCCCTCCAGGAGGCAGGGCCAGCCCTGGGGAGGAGGGCTGGGGAGAGCGCGAGAGCCCCGCCCACCAGTTCCAACATTGCACTTCAAGGGCCGCTGGCTTTGGGGACCGACGCCAGGCCTCCACAGCTTGTTCTACGAGGTGCTCCGACGACGCGGTTCCCAGGGTGGAACCGAGCACGCCCTCACTCCACAGGCTCAGAAACAAAAGGGGTCAGTGGTCCGACGGCCACACGTGGACGCTGGGTTCCCTGTCTCGAGAGCTGCCAGCCCGCAGGGTCCCTAGCTCTGCAGGTGCCGCAGCAGGATCTGCATGAGGTCGAAGGTGGTGAAGCTGATGCCCACGGCGATGGGACCCTTGAGCCAGTTCATGCTCAGGCCCTTGTAGAGGCCACGCACAGCACCCTCCTCCCGCACGATGGCACGCAGCGTGTGCACGATGGAGGCGTGCGGGTGACCCGTGACCCCAGCCGTCTGCATGCGCCGCCGCACCACATCCAGCGGGTACGAGGCCGACTGCCCGATGAGGCCGGCACAGGCCCCAAATATCATGCGCTCGAAGGGGTAGGGCTGCGGGCGGCCGCTGTATTCTGCAGGCGAGGGACAGAAGGGCTGCGTAAGCGTGTGGTCAGGGGGCAGGCACGCAGCCCGTGCTGAATCCGTCCCGCACCTGCCGCTCACACTCCTTCACTGCTTGGGATCCAGACCCCCTGGCTCCCCGGGGCCTTCCCGCCCCGGCCTCCTCACCTCCCTGCCATTCCTTTTGAGAAGAAAAGTTTTTAAAAAGGCAGAAATGCACAAATAATCATTTAACCAAGTCCTACCAGCCAGAGAGAGCTCCCATCTAATCACTCCCGCTGCTGTCCGCAGCCCTCTCCCCCGCCCAAGGCAAGAACAGAAATGGGACAGCCTGCTCCGCGGGCACCCCCTGCAGGGATGCAGGGGCGTGGTGAAGTGAGCAGCCGCCAGGATAGGACACGTGGGCGGGACGGAGGAGGGCGCAGCAACCAAACAACAGGGTTCTTTAAAAATGTGTGCTTGTCAATTTAACACGAGGCACTGACCCCAGTGAGACGGCACTCTTCACTCAGCACACCGGCCGAACACGAAGGAATCCACCCGCACCCGAGTGGGGTGGGTGCGTGGCCACAGGGCTGGGGAGAACGGCGAGTGGAGTAAACCCCAAAACCTGGGGCTCACACCCAACACGCAGGGAGGCGCACCGGGGTGTGTGCGGATCACTGACAACCTGGAAACACGTAAGGGCTCCCCCAGTCGGGGAGGCCCACTCCACCGCTCAAAGGAAAACGGGACAGACCTCGGATGGGGTGGCGGGACGGACTCAGAGGCGGCCTGGGGCCCTGCAGAGGAGCAGGGCTGGGGGTGGGGGACACAGGACCTCGGCGTCCCCTGGAACATCTGCTTTCTTTAACAAAAACCATCTTGGAACACTGCTGACACCTGGTCGCCCGGGGCAGCAGGTTCAGGCGGTGGTATACGGTTCTCTGTGCTTTTCTGCGCTGAGTTTCTCAAATTTACTACCACCCAAGAGGGCTCTTCCCCTCGCGGCTAGGTTGTACCCGGCCACTCTGGGCACAAGGGGCTGCCACTGCACCTGGTGCCACGCAGGACTTCACCAAGCTGGTCTTAAAACTCGGCACGGAAGGTTGGGAGTCCAGCTGCCTCTGTGGTGGCTCGGTGTCTATCTCGTTCTGATTTGGACCTTGGCCGGGAGCCCGTCCCTCCCAGGGCAGGGGCCTCAGTGGCCCGCCTCTGAGTCTGTGCGGCCCCGGGGAGGTGCAGCCCGTGCTCCCGGCTCCTTACCTCTGTGCAGGCTCTTGAGCGTCTCATAGGTGAAGAAGCTCAGCCCCGCGTAGGGAATGACCCCCAGCACGGTGGGCGTGAATCCGTGGTAGAGGGTCTTCAGGCCCTCTTCTCGGGAGATGCGGATGAAGACCTGAAAGATGTTGCTGTACCTGCAGGGCAGAGGGACGGAGCGGGTGAGCCGTGGGCACGAAGAGGGGCCGTTGGCCTCAACTAAAGCTCAGCTCCCTCCCGGAGTCTGGAGGGCCAGGGGCTCGTTGCTGGTGCTTGCTTTAAGGAGCACAACCATGTAGCAAAAGCCTTGGCACTGGAGGGGGGAAATGTGTGCCTCAGGCCATATCCCACCTTTGCTGCCCAGATCACTGGGGGAGCAGCCCTTGTAACCTATCTGTGCTAATTCAAAATGAAGACTTTGGGGGGGCACCTGGGGGGCGCAGTCGGTTAAACGTCTGACTCTTGGTTTCGGCCCCGGTCATGATCTCGGGGTCATGGGATCGAGCCCCGTGTCAGGCTCCCCACTCAGTGTGGAGTCTGCTTGGGATTCTCTCTCCCTTTCCCTCTGCCCCTGCCCCCCACTCTAATCTCTCTCTAAAAATGGATGGACAAATCTTAAGAAAAAAAAAAATGAAGACTTTCGGTTCAATGTCAGTAGAAGCTGACCCCTAGGGTGAAAGAAACAATTACTGCCTTTCTGGGGCAGCTGCAGAATGGCACGCCTGGCCCGGGAACTCACATTTCCTTTGGGGTCACGGCCATCCTGGCTCGGACCAGGTCCAGGGGGTAGGTCAGAGAAGCAGCTGTCGTTCCAGCCAGTGCGCCCGCAAGGAGGCGGGGCCCAGGCGGCAGGGCTCTGAAAGAGGGGGCGGGGAGAAAATGAGACCCCCCCCCGCTCAAGACTTGGGGTGCCCACAGGTCTCGGCCAGTGGGGAGAACCAAGGAATGGCCAGGGGCTGGCTTCCTCATGGCCGAGTGATGGGGTCTCTTGGGTGGATGTCATTTTGAGGTTCCCATGGCTGCCTTTCCTTCCCATCCACTTGTGTGGATGAATGAATGAAGCGCTCCTTCCCTACAGACACTGGGGCCACGGCTGGGATCACGGGTCCCACTGGGACTTCGGTTCTGAGGGAAGAGCAGGCAAAGGACAGGACCTCAGCCATGGTGAGCATGCGGAAGATGGGAGGGCAGGAGATGGGGTAGAGCTGAGAGGGTTTGGGGGGAGGCTGGGGGCGGGCACTCACTCTCCGCGGAAGCCATAGTAGCGGCCGAGGATGCGCTTGTACTCCTCGTGGGCGCTGAACTGGATTGCGGCGTAGGGCACCACGCGCACCATGGTGGCCGAGTTCCCGCGCCACAGGCTGAAGAAGCCCTCGTTGAGGTAGGTGAAGTAGAGGAGCCGGAAGGCCTCCTGCGGGGGAGGGGCAAGGTCAATGCCCTTGCCTGCCCCTCTCCCCGCTCCACGGTGAACACCCTCTTTTGTCCAGCACTGTAACTGGGGCCCACATTATCGATCCCACCACACCTTGCCTCCCCCATATTCTCTGGGCCCCGTGTGGGGACCCCTCTCTCCCTAGTCCCCTGACCTTACGAAGAGTAAAGTGAGCCAGGGCAAACCAGGTTTGCAGGTGACAGCCCCACACAGAGGGTGTTTGATTGGTCTATGTGGTAGTCCAGCTTCTAAAGATATTATCTTTTCCCAAGAAAGTAATGCCTGCTCTCTGTTTAAAAATGAATCAAATGTGGGATGTCTGGGTGGCTCAGTTGGTTAAGTGTCTGCCTTTGGCTCAGGTCATGATCTCGGGGTCCTGGGATCAAGCCCTACATCGGGCTCCCTGCTCAGCAGGGGAGTCTGCTTCACCCTCTCCCCCTCCCCCTGCTCTTGCATTTGCACTTTCTCTCTAACAAATAAATAAAATCTTTTAAAAAAATGAATCAAATGTGAAATCATGGGTTTATAACTCCAAGTCCTCTCCCCACCACCCCAAGGACGAGGCCAGAGTGGGCTACATCTAGGCAGAGCTTGGGGTGCCAGGACAGGTGGCCCTTGCCCTGGGGCCTGATGGGGGAGGCCTCGGTGCCCTGGCAGCTCGGAGAACTGGCTTGTGGGGGAACCAGAGGGAAAAAACACGTTGAAAAGCCTCTCCCTCCACCCCTGGCCGTGTGCCTCCATCACCTCCTGTCAGCCTACCAGGGCACATGGTGATGGCCCCAGAGCCAGGAGTTGGTGACCTAGCGGCTTACCTTAGCAGAAAACCTTTTTGAAGACACTGGAAAAAAAAACCAAAAAAACAAAAAAACACAACAGAGACCATTAGATGTGAAGGACGGGACCTGGGTCTATGGGACCCCCAATGCAGGGGTTGGGTCTGAGCACGGGGAGTGAGAACAGCCACTGCGGATGCTCCCCTGCCAGGGGCTGAGGTGTGGAGCATTCCCAATCACGGTCACCCTCCTCCAGGGAACCTCCTCACCCGCTGCGCCCTGCACCCCTGGGCCCAGGGCCTCCGGCATGTCAACTTATCCCCACTCAGGGGAGCTGAGCTGCCACCTCCCTCTCAGGGAAAGTGAGGGTCTCTGCAGAGCCTGTGCTTCTTGGGGTTGACACTCAGCATCCCGCACCTGGCTGGACCCCAATTCAACCAAACCCCCTCAAGAAAGGCCTCCTAGCCACCAGCTGTGCAAAGCTACTGAGGGGCCTGGGCCTCTCAGAACAAGGCCCGGGGGATGTTCTCTGCTGAGAGCCCACCCTTTTTTCCCACAAGTGTGGGTGTGGCGCCCCTGACCAGCCTCTCCCACCCTCGCTGGCGGCCACCTTGCTCCCCGATGCCACGGTGTGCTCCGCTGGCAGGCCCCCCACCCCCTTGAGCCGCTGCGGCCGGCAAGGGTCGTGGTCTTGCAGCCTCCCTCTCCACTCCTGGAGCGGAGCGTTGAGGAGTGTCTGCTGAGCTCCCAGGACACGCTCACACCCGCATCTGTGCAGACATGTGTACACACCGAGGCCACCAGAGCTAAGCACAGCTCCCTGCAGGGCGCTACGTTGTGCATTCGCTCCAGGTGACAAGGCTGCCGACACACGGGGAGGCGGGTGCTCAGCCGCATGCCCTTTCCCACGCCAGCTTGCTCCTTCCAGAGGTTGATATTAACGTCCTGTTTTGTGGATGAGGAAACGGAGGCACGGGGAGGCTAAGGGACCAGCTCACACAAGTGGGGATGGCCTGGCTTGAATCTGCAGTCCCTTCCTCCCAAACAGTGGAGGGGCAGGGGTCCCAGTTTGTGACTGCCTTCTTCTAGGCACCGGTCACTGTCTGTGGGACGGAAAGGCCTGATGTCTCAGGGGACCCTGCGGCTGCTCAACCCAAGGAGGGAGCATGACGGTCCCCAAAAGATGTCTGTGTCCTCGAGCCCAGTACAAGTGAAGGTGACTTTATTTGGAAACAGGTCTTTGCAGATGTAATTAAATTAAGATGAGGTCATACGGGAGTGGAGTGGGCCCTAAATCCAATGACAAGTGTCCTTCTAAGAGGAGAGGACACAGACGTGGAGGGGAAAGCAGAGACTGAGGCGCCGTGACCATAAGCCAGAGATGCCTGGAGCCTGGGGCGCTGGAAGAGGCAAGGAGGGCGCCCCCCTAGAGTCTGCAAAATGAACTGACCCGGCTGGCACCTCGATTTCAGACTTCTGGCCTCTAGAACATAAGCTGCTTGGTTTGTGGTACTTTGTGATGGCAGCCCTGGGATGCTAACAGAGTTTCTAAGTCTATTTTATTTTAAAGCCAATTTGCAGTGCAGATCGGCAGCTGTGGAGGACGGCGGACTGCCGGGAAGCATCTCCCTCATACAGAACAGATGGCCAGAGAGCATTTACCTTGGAAGATGATTTTGGTTCGGTCCAGGGGAGCTACTGCCGTTTTGGCAAGTGCACCGGCCAGGGCCCCAGACAGGAGGGAGCTGAGAACTTGCCTGTGATCACTCTGCAAGAAAATACAGGAATACAGTTTGTCACGAGAGAGAAAGGGACAGGGGTCGGCTCTGCTGGCGACTGCCCCCAGGAGGAGCATCTTCCTTCTGTCCCCTCGAGGGCTGTAAAAGGCGTAACTGTGCAAGCGTCACAGCCCTGCTGGGCCCGGGGCAGGCTGTCACGAGTCCACCAACCACAGAACCTGGGTGGGACATAGTGAAAACCCTCCTGGGGGACAGGGACCATCTGCATGAGAGGTGACCCACTGGCGGGGCTGTCCCATGAGTTTCCAACTTCTCAGGGACAGCCTACGACAGGCCTGACCCCAAACAGATGGGTCACCCCCCCACCAAGTGCAGACTCTGGCTGTGCCCACCGCCTGTGTGCGCTGGACAAGGGCCCCTGTGGTCTGGGCATCAGGCCGGTGTCAAGCAAGCAGAACCTGACTGTGTCCGTGTGACCCCGTTCCACAACTTTCCATCAGGCCCGCAGTGGCCGGCATCTGTGGTTCTTTATCCAACCAAGGTGAGGGTGGTGGTGATGGTGGCCAGCCTGCATCACGAGGCCAGCCTTGGAGCCAGCACTTTCCCGAGTCTTCTCGAAGCTCCCCATGAGGAGTCGCACAAGAAGTCACCAGCTCATCAGGTTGGCGTCTCCGTTTCCCCAGCTGACTCAGCCACAGAGCTCTTGCCAAGCCATCACGGGGAGCACTGGGGACCAGAGGGGCTCCCATCTTCCCTGGCTCCACAGTGAGGAAGGACGGTGAGGGGCAGGTCATTCAGTGATCCCAGGAGTCCCTAGAGTCTGACAGGAACCAGGTGCCCTGAGGGGCCTTGGGACACTGGGTGGGTAGGGATGTGTATGACACCTCCCTGCCCCCGGGCCTGCCAGTCCACAGGGAGAGCCAGACATGAACTAAAGCTTTAGACAAATGTGTAGGGGCGCCTGGGTGGCTCAGGCGGTTAAGCGTCAACCTTGATTTTGGCTCAGGTCATGATCTCAGGGTCCTGAGATCAAGCCCCACACTGGGCTCCGCGCTCGATGCAGAGTCTGCTTGTCCCTCTCCCTCTGATCCCCCTCCTGCTCGAGCTCTTGCTCTCAAATAAATAAATTAAATTAAATTAAATTAAAATGTGTAGAGTCACCAATCCAGGATGGCTGTAAGTGGGGCCTTAGGGTCCCGGGAGAACATGGGGTCGGGGGTGAAGGGCTGAGGTTGAAGGATGAGGTGCAGCTAACTGGGATATGTGTGTGTGTGTGAGAGAGAGAGAGAGATCATATAAGAAGGGGAGGAATGGAACACCCAGGGGCCCAGGTGAGAAAAAGCCGGGGGTCCCGGAGGACCACAAGAAAGGCAAGGTGGTTGACACAGCAAAAGGGAGGGGACACAGGGAGGAGAGAGGAGATGAAAGGAGGGTGGGGGCTGAACTCCAAGGAACCTGGGGGCTCAGCAAGCAGGCTGGTGTTTACCCAAAGAGAAATGGAAACGCACAGAAGGTAGACAGGCCATTTTAACTGTAACCAGAGAGGAGGCAGCGCATGCAGAAGCTCAGGGTGGAGAGATGGGGGCTAGGACTAGGGGATGGATAAGGGGCATTTGGGGGGTACAACTGGCAGCCTGGGTCTGAGTGGGCATGATGGGGTCCAGGGCCACTCCCCAGGTTTGCTCAGCTCAGCAGGTGGATCAGGGGTGAAAGGCTGGGCTCCAAGTCTGTCCGCACACCTGGCCTGAATCTGGGCTCTGTCCCGATTGCTTGCAGTGACCAATGGCCTCTCTGATCCTCCTTTCCTCACCCCGGACACACTGACATGCTGTCTCCTGGCCGGGTCTGGGTGCTCCCCGGGGCTGTGATGCCCTACAACCTGGCCCTGTCCCTGGGGGGCTTCAGCTCCTTTCCCTTAATGTCCCCAGAACCTCCTCCAGCAGCCGGGCCCTCCCCTCCCTAGAGAAGCGATTTCCCACGGCAGTGTTTTCCCTCCTAAGTTTCTGAGGTGGAGCTTCACCTCTGGATTCCAGCTTCTTCCTGCACGGAAGCCTGTCACTGCCTTTTCTGGATCACACAGCAAGGTTCTGGAGGTCTGGCTCCACCCGCTTTGTGAAGTGTGGATGTCAGGCACTGGAAGGTTCGGTGGTGTTCCTGGCAACAGCTCCGAGGCCCAACCAGGTCCCAATCTCCTCTGGAGGGTCAGCGTGATGACGGTTCACCTCGTGGGCCGCTGGGAGCCGAGGGCGTACCCCAAGGACGGTCCACATGCCCTGCTGCTTAGACTAGAGGCGAAGCCGAGGCGCCCCTTCCACGGCCTTTACGTGATCACATGCCGGGCACGCGTGTCCTTAAACCTCACTCGGGATGTGGCACTCCGGGGATGTGCCGCGAGCCCAACTTCTGTGCTTGCCGGACGAGGCCGCCCCCGCCTTTGGCCAACGTTCCTAGTGACTTAAGTGACCAGGGCCGGCTGATTCTTTGAAGAGCTCGACGCAGGCGTCATGGATCGGCCAGGCTCCACACCCGTCAGACGGAGAGTGCGCACAAGTGAAGAACGAGCCAGACGGCCCAGTAGAGAAAAAGCGGGCGATCCACAGGAGCCATGCGGGCTGTGAACGCCACAAGAAGATGCTCAGCTCCTTCACCAAAGACATGGGTCTTGACACAGTAGGCTCCCCCCATCAGGCTGGCTGAGCGAACCAAGACTGATGGCGGCCGTGCTGGCCAGCATAGCGGAAAATCAACACCGGCTGTGTCCCAGCGCATGACGGGCACCGGGCCTGTGGCTGGGCACGTCCGCTCGGTGGGATTCAGCCAGCCCGCCAGGGGCTGGGGAGTTCGCTACACCATGAGGGACAGATGTGCCCGCTCTGGGGTTTGGTCTTGCTCCCGCGCATCCACCCCCAGGGTTGCGACCGTGGCCCCAGGCGGTCACCCTACAAACCAGTCCTCCTGCCCATCTGGTGCTTCCCAGGGTGCCCTAGAATTTGAGGAAAGCTGGGGAAGGCCAGAGGATGATGCCACTTCAGCCTTTGACCCCGTGGACTTTGAGAATGGTCCGTGGGCCCCAGTGCCGGGTTTCTGCGTGGGGCTGGGTCAGTCCGTGCTCCAGGTTCAGCCAGAAGAGCCTCTACTGGCTTCTTTGGTGAACGAGGACAGGGCTGATCCCATTTCTTTCAAAGGGAATATACCTTTTCTTCGAGAGAAGGGTGGAATCAGAGATGAACCTCAGAGAGGAGACTGGGAGCTGAGAGCGCACCCTGCATGCGAACACCCGCCCCCACAGCAGGCCCTGCCCATGACTAACTCTCTCATGCTCACTAATCCGAGCAAGAAAAGGAGTTCAAGGACACCTTTTGACTTCCTAGCCAAATTTGGGCGAGGTTCTGGCTTCTTACCAAGTGGATGGGCAGACTGGATCCACATCACAAACGGGACTTTAAATGGAACAGAAGGAGGCCAACCTCCTGCACCCCCCTCTGCCAACGGCCTCCCAACAACACAGCTCCACCCAGAGTATGTGTGTGTGTGGGGGGGCAATTTGCCATGGGGTGCAGGAACACAGAAGAGGGACCTCAGGAAAACGCCCATCAGGGAGGCAGGGTACTTGCCTTGGAATTGACGGGTGAGGGCAGGATGGCCTCGGCATCCTCACGCACACGCGCCGTACTCTCCTTCACACCATTACCCATTCCAGGCCAGCTCTGGGCAGCAGGAGACTCGGTCCTGGGAGAGAGGGGGTACGGTGAGACCTGGTGAGAGGAGGGCCAACCCGACCTGCCTCAGGCCTGTGACTCATCCCTGAGTCACCTGAAGCCTCGCAGGGTGCTCTAGCCAGACCGGCTTGTTTCCCTGCAGGGGAAGGACGCAGGCACCTGCATCCGAATGGCAGTCCCCAGCGCAGATCGCTTAATCATTGACAAAAGCCCTTCTCATTGGCTCTCTGATTTGATCATCACAAACAGGCCTCTGAGTTGTCTGTTTTTTTTTAACCCAGTACCACCTGGCAGATGGGCTCAGAGAGGTGAAGGCACCTCTGAAGGTCACATAGCAGGAGGCAGAGGTGGCCCCACCTCCCTGGACCCGAGCACCCACTGGGCTTTTGTCAGCTTGGGCCTGAATATCTAGCCAAAGAAACACTTAGAAAATTACTCTTTTTCCTACTGCAAGTTTGCCCGATCTTTCTGGCCAAGCTTACAGTAAAGGGTTCTAATATTTGAGGATTCCTCCCTGGAAACCTCCATTTAACCTCTAAGTGGAAGTACCCACAAAGCTCAGCAAAGCTCAGCAAACCACAGTGAGGAGAATAGACAGAAAAAAGGATGAAGGACGAGTGTCACCAAGATGCCAACTGTGCACTGGGGTTCCTGGGGGTCTCGGTTCCCGTGCTTTAAGATTATCCAATAAATCGATGCACTTTCCTGTAAAATGATGCAAATGATGCAGACATCCCCTGAGCGGGCTGTGAAGGCCCCTCCTGCCCTCCAGGTCCTCCCGGGGACCCCACGTCAATGCCGGGGCAGAAGGCCCTAGAAAGCACAAAGAGGATTCCCCTCCACTTGTCCTCTGCTGCTGTTTCCCACCTCAACTGGGCCCTGGCTCCAGGAGGAATGGCTGCTTCTAAGGGCAGGAATGAGCCCAGAGCACCCTGAGGTGCCAGGCAGGAATCAAACCAATGCGGGTGTGACAATAGGAGAGGTAGGAGAATCACAGAGCTGCCAGTGGCCAAAGCCGGAACGCTCTGAGCAATAAGCACTGGATTATAGCCCAAGGTATAAAATAAATATCCACAAGTCCACAGTTAGAAATAAATGATTAGAGAAGCCTGGCTGGCTCAGTCAGTGGAGCGTGTGACTCTTGAGCTCAGGGTTGTGGGTTTGAGCCCCATGTTGGGTGTGGAGATTACTTAAAATCTGGGGCACCTGGGTGGCTCAGTTGTTAGGTGTCTGCCTTTGGCTCAGGTCATGATTCCAGGGTCCTGGGATCGAGCCCTGCATCGGGCTCCCTACTCCACGAGAAGCCTGCTTCTCCCTCTCCCACTCGCCCTGCTTGTGTTCGCTCTCTCGCTGTGTCTCTCTCTGTCAAGTAAATAAAAAATAAATCTTTAAAAAAATAAAATAAAATCTTAAAAAAAAAAGAAAGACATGACTGAATTCATAAATAAATTGGGAAGAGGCAATCTCCCAGGCAGAAGAATCCCAAACAGTTTGTGTAGCTGCTTTGCTCTCGAAGAGGGGGTGTTCTCAAAACTGTCAAGGTCATCAAAAACAAGAAAGTCCAAGAAACAGTCTCAGCCCAGAAGAGCCTAAGGAGACGTGACGGCTAGATGTCAGGTGGGATTTGGCGACAAGAAAAGGATATTAGGGAAAACTGAGGAAATCTGAATAAACTATGGCCTTTAATTAATAGCCATCTATCAGTATTTGCTCATTATTTGTGACGAATGTACCAAAGTGAAGTGTTATTAGCAGGGGAAATTAGGTGTGTGGGGTGTAGGGAAACCGCTACCTTTGCCAATTTGTATATAAATGCCAAACTGTTCACAAACCCACAATGAGAAAGTAGGCCCTAGAGAACTTTTCCAGCCAGCTGCTGGGGTATCAGCTTGTCGGGGGGCACGGAGACTGTTTCACCCCCACCCGCAGTGTGGACAGCTATGACTCAGCACCATCCCCAATGCTATGGACGCCAGGGGATAGTCCCCACATCCAGGCACGCAGACGGATGGTGCAGCCTTTCTTAGGGCTGTGTCGAGGGCGTGGGCACGTTGAATGTGGACACATTCTATGAAAAGTGCCTTCCTGAGAAAGGATCCAACCCTTTGGTCCCAGCCTCACACGGCTCTGATCTACGGCCGCACCCTCCCTCCAACTCCTGCTCCAAGCTCCCCAGGAGACAAGAGCCGGTTCGAGGCTGGCGGGTGGTGCTCTGCATTGGGCAGGCTGTGCAGGTTCAGAGGGGGCGGCCTGTCCAGCCTGGTGGACCTTTCTTCCCTCAGCTGTTTGGCTCCAGGACCTGCTGCAGGAACTCAATGCAGACAGTTCATGAGGGGGCCTCGGTGTGGTGGATGAGCACAGAAACGTCGCCACACAGAGCCGTGCAGACCTATGACACCGTGTCACTGCAGGAGACAGAGTGCCCGAAGCAAGTCACGGGAGCCCCCCAGAGACATCTCCACCCGCAACTTATGATTGGATTCCAGTGCGACTGGAAAGGGTCTTTGCAGATGTAATTAAGGAAGGGATCACGACATGAGACTGTCCTGGATCATCCCCCCACCAACGTGATCTGATCAGACAGAAGAGGAGACAGACAGGAAGGCCATGTGACTGGAGGCAGAGACTGGGGTGATGTGGCCACAAGCCGGGGACCCCCGGGAGTCCCCAGAAGCTGGTAGAGACAAGAGCCTGCCCCGGAGCCTTCAGAGACTGCACGGCCACACACACCTCAGTTTTGACCTTTTAACCTCCAGAATTAAGAGACTAAAATTGTGTTACCTCAGGCCTCCGGTCTGTGGGGACTTGTCTAAGGCTAAGGGCCCTTTTTAGGGAAGGGGGGGCCGGGGCCCCCCAGCGCCAGAGAGTGGTCAGTCTCAGGCTGTCAGACGCTCACCTGGGTTCAGTGCCTCCTGGCAGTGCTCCAAGGCTCAGAGGGTGGAGAGGACATCCTTGCCCTGGGGAAGCCAGGGGGGAAAGACCTCGAGCTTGTCCCTCAGGCCAAAGGCTAAGTTCTCTAAGAAACAAAGAGCTCTTTGCTCTTTCAAATCAGTAAAACAAAACCAACTCAAGACAAAAAAGGGCAAAGAAACAGCCAGGTCACCAGGAGACTACTTTAAAATATGACACACACACACACAAAAAAAAAAAAAAAAAAGGAAGAAGACAGATGCCTGACTGTGCTCGTAACGGAGAAAGGCAGGTGGAACCCTGAGTGAAGGGCTGTTTGCAAGTCCAGAGGCAGTAATGAAGTGTGCATGAGGTGGGGGCGGGCAAGGAGGGAGGCTGGGGGTGGCACCTCTTTGGGGGGTCTGGCAAACGCCTTGGAACGTGTGCTCCCCAATACATGCACATGAGGACTCGGGGGCCGCTGAGGCTCCCAGCGAAGGCCTGGAAGAGAAGCTCCGCAGGGGGACAGGACAGAGGGAGTGCGTGACTCACATCCCCATGGGGGAAGGCCACTCAGCCTGTCACTAATGAGCAGACCCCATCTTGACGAAGTGATCAAGGTCAACACCACCGGCGACAGGGCCGACCGACAGCTCGCCTCCCCCACACGGTGCCCCAGGACGGACACGTGCCTTCAGCGGGATTCCTCCCAAAGGCGCACGGCCTCCGGCTAATGAGGAAGCAGTGGACAGACCACCCGGAGGGATGCTCCACTGGGCCCGACCCAGCAGCTCTCAGCGCAAGTCCGAAGGCTGTGGACGATGATGGAAAGGCCGAGGAGCCGTCACGGGGCAGGGGACACGAGGCACATGGGATAACAAGTGCAACGTGGGGGCCTGGACCGGAAGGAGCACGTTAGGGGAAGCTCTGGGGGGGGCCCGCGTCCAGGCTGGAGGGGAGCTCCCCCGTGGCGTCGGTGCCTATTTTCTAGGCCACATGACTGTACCCTGAATGGTGCTGACACGGGGGGCGGCTGGACGAAGCATCTACTGGAACTCTTAGGATTTCTACCACTTTTCTGTAAACCGAAAATTATTTCAAAACAAAAAGCTAAAGAAAGGGGCGACTGCGTGGCTCAGTCGTTAAGCGTCTGCCTTCGGCTCAGGTCATGGTCCCAGGGTCCTGGGATCGAGCCCCGCATCGGGCTCCTTCCTTGGGGGAGAGCCTGCTTCTCCCTCTCCCACTCCCCCTGCTTGTGTTCCCTCTCTCGCTGTGTCTCTCTCTGTCAAATAAATAAATGAAAAATCTTTACCAAAAAAAAAAAAAAAGGCTAAAGAAAAAAAATGCCTTATGAAAACCACGAGCTTTCTGGATGTGCCAGAGGTTTCGGAGAAACACATTTCAGATGTCTGTGGCTGTTGAGGGGCGGGCTGGTGGGCTGATCTGGCTCCTCCTTGTCCACTTGGGGCCTCCAAGCCAGGGGCTTAGTGTCTTGGGCTGGGGAAGGGCGCTGGCAGCCATGGGAGCCCTGTGCAAGGGAGTGGGGCTCCTGGTTTGTGGGGAGACCAGTGCCCTTCCTGGCAGGGAGAGCCTGACCCTGGCCTCTCTGGGGTCAGCAGCTGCGGGGTGTCAGGCTGAGGCCTTCACCCAGGGCCCATCTGTGGCTCTGCACACGGGCTGAGAACAGGGTGAAGGCAGACCCTACACACAATGACACGATGGCCGTTTTTATTAAATCCCTCTGCCACCTTGCTCGCTAATCCGGCCAGCCTTCACCACCGATACGGGCGCTGCTTTACCGATGGGCAAGTTAAGGTAGCACAAGTCCTCTGCTGGAGACCACTATGGTGATAATTGCTGCCACTACCCATTAGGGGTGTCATGGTCACTGGTTTATCTCTTCACTTTGTTGATGCAACACGGAAAAACTTGGGTCAGACCAAGGGCAGAGGGAACTCCAACCTTGACGCAGGACTCCAAAGTCATGGCCATATCCTTCTCCATGGAGCCCTGGCCCCCTTTCATCCTGAATGGTTCTCCTAGAGAACCACATGCCCCTTAAGACTTTGCTTAACCTGAAGGAACAGCAGGGTAGGGAAAGCAGGGTGGAAGGTCTGGCTG